CATTGCCAAAATGTGTGACAACACCCCCAAATCCCTCTCTCTCTCTACATCCTGACCCAGGGGGAGAGCAGTGTGTGGGGATTTGAAGGGGATACGGCAGGTGGACGGGCCGAGCTTTTATTCCCGATGGCACCATACCAGTGCAGCCTGGCATTTGCAGCCCTTTAACTACACTTTTCGGTGAGGTCATTTCCTTCCTCCTATCCAGGCAACCGCTGGTGTAATTTTTCATTTCTATGGTAATCAGCTCACAGGGACATGAATCGTCCTCTTGATAGATAATCCATTATGCTTGACTCATTTTTTTTCTCTACAAAGCTGGTATTTGTAAATGCACAGAGGGAACAGAGGCTCTACAAGAAGAGTTGGCTCTTAGTGTTTGGCATTTGACCACTGTGCTCGTAGCTTCTTAGCTCTGGGTTTGCAAAGATTTGTTAAGGAAAACTAAAACTTTAGTAAATAAAAACAAACAAAAAATAAAACAGGGTCAAATATAAAAGTAGAACATTGGGGATGTTGAACTGACCACCACTGCTGAACGAGGCATCACAGTTGGTTCTGTGATTTAATACTTTAATAACACAACATGGCCAAAGTAGTAAAATGACAAATATTTGCCTTTCAATGCAAAAAGTATTGACATGTTGTCCAAATGCACCAAAAAAACCTCAAGACAGTAAGAGAAAAAAAATCCCAGCAGAAACACTGAACAACATGTATGTTAAAATCACGTGTACATTTGTTAACCCCAGCTGCCCAATCAACTGTAGCTTCACCTAATTAACCATCGACACAGATTGAATCAGTAGAACTGGGCTTGAAACAAGTGAAATAATTCTGTTGCTTCTTTTAGAAACAACGCTCAAGGTGTCTTTCATGACCTTGAAAACAGTTGGGATCCTGATGCAGCAAAACTACTGCTGTCTTTCAGTTTGAACTGAGTGAAGGTTAGAAGACAGATAGCGATTCATCTCATCACTTCTGCTAGATTTTATACACCACAAAGGAATAAAAAAAAAATCATCCTCCTAAGACCACCAACATGAAATCAAAAGGACTTGTCAAGACGCTGCAGGCATTTGTAAAATAAAAACTCTTTGGACTGCTGTGGACTGGAGATGAGCAGAAGAACCAACTGTGGAAATGCGAGCTAATCAGATGAACACAGACCTGGGGGTTGATGTTTTCCTCATCGATCGGACACTCTCATCTCTCCCTTTTTACTATAAATGGCAAGGAACAAAAGCAGCGGGTTCTCTTCAGACGGAGGCCATCGGCCCTAAAAGGATGGACTTGGACATGAAAGAGGCAGAGCTGCAGAGAGGAAGCTTTTATTTTAACCATGAATCCCAGGAATAAAAGCTGGAAGAAACAGCACACAAGGGAACCAAGGAAAATGGAAGCAAGAAAAAAACTAACCTCCAGTTTCTCAAGGAAGTACAACGTTTGTATTTGTCTGTGTTCATCTCCTCTTCAGGAAGTACAACGTTTGTATTTGTCTGTCCTATTTGTTTGTCCTACTCTGTCTATAACAACCTCAAAGAGCTGTGTCTTCCCCTGTTTTCTTTCCCTTTATGAGCACCTAGGTACGTACTGTGAGGCAAACACACCTCACACTTGATTTGATGTCGGCAGTGGAGTTACAGTAGGAATGCAGTGGCCTCACACACCTAAACAAACAGCTCGTACCTACAGCAGGTGTTTACATGAAAAGGAAGATTTAAAGTGACACTAGAAAAGTTTCAGCTTCGTCACAACAACCTCAGAGCCTCACGGTAACTTAAAACCGCTGCAGCTTTGCGTCTGCGGCGAGGCAGAACATAAATAATGATGAAATACATCCTAGAAAATTACCTTTAAACAAAA